TTGATGATCAACAAGTATGTTGACAATAGCAGTTTTTATTTCCCGGAGATTTTCAGGGCTGTTCTGTAGTTACGGGAAATTTTCCCCACTTACGCTCCTAATCGTACAAACTACTTATGTATTTGTCACTCTTTTCATCACTTCCTTGTATGGCTCATATGTTTCCTCATCTATATTGAAAAAGTATAATGCATTTTCATTATGTATTGAAAATGTGGATGCTTTTCCACCGGATATCCCCCTCCCACCCCACCGTTCGTTCCTCTACGCCGCGCCGGTGTAATGCGGCGATGCGCAACCCTGCCCTGCGCGCGCGCTCAGCGGTCGGCCGGCCGCGGCGCGCCCCGCGGGTCCATGGCCTCACGTCGTTATTGGGCCGTTTGTGACCTTACGCTTCAAGATACGCCAAAACGGACGAAATTTCTGCCCAAAGGGCCGTAACTTGCAATTTTCCTTCGGAATTGATATGTCGCTTGCCAAAATTTTTGGATTTTGGGTTTAGGCCCTTTAGGCCCTTTGAGGCACGGGTTAAAATTTTTTTAAAATTTTTTCCTTTTAGGGGGTTAATTTAGAGACTACATAGAAACTTTTTAGGGGTTGACCAACTTGATTTTCGCAAAACTCAAAAATAAGCTACACCCTACCTGACTCTTGAAAACATTGAGAAGAAAAAATACTCTTGATTCAATCAGATTTAAGCTTAAATCAAAAGGAAGTCCGCTCAAATTAAGAGGCTTGGTTCTTGATTTAAGCAAAAATCCGATTGAATCAAGAGTATTTTTTCTTGTCGATGTTTTTAAGAGTCTGGACTCTAGATCCAATGTATTTTTTTTCCAGTGAACATGTATGAATCACGAGTAGTCAGAGCATTTACAATGTAGTTTTAATTTCCATGGATAATGGAACACTAGACAGGGTACGAATTTAAGCAATCTGATACATGATCCTTAGCCAGAATTTCACGTAGAACACGATTCGCCCGACGAAAATTACTGAAACCAACTCCTAACGGAGTTATTAACACTTTTATTTCACATTGGATACGAGGAATTTGAACTGCCCGCTGACAAGAAACTCAAAGCTCTACGTAAGTCAAATCGCGCACTACAACGGTTTCAGCAAGCTTCTCAATCGATCAATGTTCATTTTCCACCATGTGTTGTTCAAACTATAAGCAATTTTCTATAGCTGAGCCAAAGCGTGAAGATTGAAGTTTCCAGATTTGTGAATCGTAGAGACGGTCATGATAACGTTCAGCGCGCGATGTGAATCAAGTAGAGCATTGAGTTTTTATGAGCGGGTGGTTTGAATTCACGCATCAAGAATCATCAAATATCTTCGCAAGGAGTTAATTTCGGTAATTTTCGTTGTGTGCATCGTGTTTTACGTGAAATTTTGGTTTTAGAAACATGTATCAGAATGCTGAAATTCGTGCCTTATCTAGTGGTCCATAGCTGCACCTTAATGTCTCACCAAGTTACACCCACGTGCTCGTGCATTCATGATATCAGATATCCTTGCAGGAATGAGCTCACATTCGACTTGAAGATATTGTCAGTGCTTAATTCATTAATCGATGCTAGCATGCGGAACAAATGATCGGGAAACGGGAGAGTTGCAGATCATTGCTACCGACTTTTCGCCTCCCTAGAGCGAGCGCACCGAAGCGCAAAGTCAACACGAGGTGGTATCTCGTAATTTTTAGTCACGCTGACTCACGTTTTCCCACGGATGCAACCGGGCCTTTAGAATGCTAAGGTTTCTACTAAGGTCTAAAATTTAAATTTTACCTGCTCGGGAAAATCGAATATAAATACATTTAAGTGCCTTGTACAAGTTGTGCGGGAGCTTTACGACACCTGAAGCGTATTTTCGTTGGCAATAAGTCGAGCCAAAATGGGTGGCTCATAAGATTTCGCCATTTTGTTCGTGATTTGATCTACAGCCTGAAAATTTCGAGGACAAATATTCACAACTTTCCTCAAAAACAATTCTTTTCAGAGAGGAAATTTGGCAACATTCGAATGCTCATACGGCGTTTTTCCTTAGCAAGGCAGCATAGCCAAACTAAAATAGGTTTATTTCTTGTGACAATGTGGCAACATCATCCCTGACTCGGAGAGGGGTTAACGAAGATGCTCTCCTAATTTCTTCTCCCGTTTCTTTTATCTTGTTATTTCACTCCTTTGCATTTTAATGTTGCTCATTCATTCGCCTCTTTACGGAAGGTTGGAAATGGACAGAAGCGGGGGATTCAGGAGCATTTTACCGTGGTCCACTGGCGACGCGCGACGCTGGCGTCAACTGACAAGCGGAGACCAGGGAGGGGCTGTGGGCTCAGATTGTAAAAACCGGACATTTCCGCTCAGAGATCAGAGAATACGTCCTGGACTGACATTGTATAATAGATAGATAGATAGATAGATAGACAGCGAAAAGACAATAAAAACAGTGGGAAACAAAGGGCGAATCCAAGGGGGGCGTAGGGGGCGTACGACCTTCCCCGTTTACCCCCCCCCCCCCCCCAAAAAAAGGAGGAAGAAAAAGGTAGGAAAAAAGGAGGAAGGAACGGAGGAAAGAAGAAGGCTTGACGGAAGGACGCTTGTATTTGGTAAATTTTCGTGACGACATTGAATCAAACTGCCTGTTGAATGCTTTAAAATTTCGAAAATTTTCTGTGGGAAGCCCCCCGGACCCCCTGGCGCCTCCCCCTTCGAAGTGTCTGGATCTGCCTATGAGAATCTCTAGAATTTTGGTCCAAAATGTCTCATGTCTATTTTCCCCTATTTCCAGCCTTAAAGACACCCAGACCTGGAAATACCATTACTTCCATTACCTTCAATTTTTTTGGGTGCAAATTTTACATCGATATTTTCATAATTGGACGGAGTTAAACAGAAAGGAACCAGGCCACATCGGGATCGAACCGAGAAAAAGAGGTTTAAAGTTTGGCTTCTGCATAAGACACAATGTAAAAGATAAACTTTAAGTTCAATTTCGGCAAAATTTGCTCGGACAAAAACTTTGAATTTTCGGCGATAGACGGTAGAGCACTTAGAGCAGAGGGCCGAGTCATAACTTAATTTTTTTCTAAAATGTGGGTTGGTTCCTTTCTGCTTAACTCAGTCCAATTGTTCTCACATATTCAGGAATAAATTTAACCGGAATATTTCCAAATTTTTGCAGCGAATTTTTCCGTGATACTTTCGTGTTGGAATTTTTCCCTGACTTTTTCCTTACATCCCCGGCCGGTCTACATTTTTCTTTCCTGTTTACGGCAACGCGGCGGCGTCCGATTCCGCGAGGCGACAACTCTAATAGCACGTCCCGCTATGCCCGGGTGAATTAAAATAAATAAGAGAGGAAAAAACACGGCTCCGGCGTACATTACAACTAATTAATATTCCGCGCCCGACTCAACTCGAAGTGTTCTCCGAGCGGCGAAAAAATCCCCCCCCCCCCCC